AAAAAAAAAAAAAAAAAAAAAAAAACTGAGACTAACAAAGACAGAATGCAAATTTGTGTAACAAAAAATCACCAATGAACCAAAACAACTTACTATGGAAAGGCCAAGATATAAGTGACACCAAAGCCTATTCAGCTCAAATGGCAAGTCCTTGCTCTCTAGCTTTCCTCAGCCACTTGAGTATACCTACCAAAGTTGAATAAGCTGCAACATCCGGGAAGCTCTTGCTCTCGACCACATAGTCAAAAACATCATAAGCTTCAGCAACCCTACCCTTCCTACACAAGGCCCTCAAAAATGTCCCATATGACCCAGTCTCCAGCTTTATACCACATCTCTTCATCACTTGATACAATTCTCCTCCCTTATCTAGCAACCTGGCCTTACACAGCCCAAGAAGCAAAGTATTATATGTACACGAGTTCGGCTCACACCCTCTCTCCTTCATCTGGCTCAACAGCCCCAGTGCCCCCAATGCATCTCCTTCCCTACACATTCCGTTCATTAACGAAGTATAAGCAACTGCATCAGGCAAATGTCCTTTTCCAGCCATAACCTCCAAGAACTTCTTGGCCTCCCCAACCCTACCCGATTTGGACAACCCAAATATCAAAGTATTATAAGTGTAACGATCGGGCTCGACCCCCTCATCCTGCATCTTCTTATACAACCCCAGTACCTCACCAGCCTGACTCAACATACAATAACCCTTCATAATCGTGTTGTACACATAGCAGTCCGGCTTGTACCCTTCATCGCTCAGCACCCCAAGAAGCCGCGTGGCCTCTCTTAAGTTCTTAGTGTTGCATACGTTATCGATCATGATAGTATACGTCACAAGGTCCGGCTTTATGCCAAACTCTCTCATATCCCTTATGAAGCAATTCACAGTGCTCAAAGAACGGTTTTTTACCAGGTGTCTCACCAGAAAATTGTATGTGTGCAAGTCGGGTGGCGAATTCTTAGAGCATAGTTCCTTGACAAGCTCGATCGCATGCTCCTCCCGGCCACAGCCACAGAGGGATCGTACAGCAACATCCGCCGACCCCTGATTGGGCGGGAAACCACCGTTGTTCATGAGGTTGAGCACGCGGTGCACGTCAGAGAGGGATGGCTCTTCCTGGGCCGAGCACGACTGTGTTAAGAGGACGTGATAGGTGGAGCGGGTGGGGCAAAAGGGAGGATGCTTCTTGGCCATGTGGTCGAGGAAGAGGATCGAGTCCTGTAGGGAAGAGACGTCGGAGAATGACCGGAGTATAGAGTTGTAGAAGTTGGGTTCGGAGGGGACGTTCTTGGTGGAGGAAATGAAAGAGTTGAAGAGGGATTTTGCGTCCGACAGATTTGGGGATTCGAAGGAGATTGATGGGGCGCTTGTTCTCGGCGGTGCGACATTGTTAATTTTGACGGGATTTCTTTTGGGGGATTTATTCTGGGTCCGCAGAAATGGAATTGGGGTTGGGATTTGTTCCTGTGGAGATGGAGAGGTGTTGTGTTTGAGAAGGGTGGTTACAGGGGATTGAGAAGCTGACCTTCTGAAGGACGGCGGGATTTTCCCCATTTCCGGTTTCTGATGGAGCTTGATTAGTTGAGGAAAGTTCTTGAGGTTGAAGACGGGTTTGGGAGGATGACGAGTTTGTTAATTAGGGCTTTTGCAGGGGTTTTAGTTTAGAGCGGACGAGTGCTGAACTTGTACACGGATTCAAGTCGATTCTTTTCGCCCGGCCGGGTGAAATAGACCGAGACCAGTTTTTTATTTTGTTGGTAGACCCCAACTTGTATATAAAAAAATGGGTTGAAAAGTCACAAGTCTACAAATTCAATATCTGATATATATCAAACCAAGCGCAAAAACAAACAAAAGCAAGAAAAGATACAAGAAAAAACTGACAACAGCAGCGAGTAACACAAAAATAATAGATCTCGGGGAGAGTCCCGACAAAAATGTCAGCATCACAGATGCGCCAAAGGGTATGACCGGCTACACATATCTGAATGAAGGGTATCTTATCTGATTTATCCGTATAAGGGTACGGAAGAGGAGAGAAATATCATCAGAGTAAAGAATGCGCCTCTATGGAGTGGATGACCCAATGTCAGCGAGGAAGTCAGCAGATTGGTTCCCTCGCGGAAGATGTGCGAGATCCGAAAGCGAATCGACCAAAGTGAAGCTCTATTACGCATGAGATGATGTTGAATTTGTCACGTGCCCTGATCGTCAGATGTCAAGAGAGTGATGACAGCGACAACGTGCAACTCTATCCAAATATAAGAGAAAATCGAGGGGGCAATCAGAATATCGATCTAAAGCGCCTGAACCTCTGTATCATAGTTCGAAGAGGCCCGAATAAGGCATGGAAAGTGGTCATAAGGGCGCTATGTTCCTAATCACGCCCCCACCTCCTGTGATTCCAGTAAGCCGGTCAAAGGCTCCATCAATGTTTAGCTTAACTCAAGTAGACTTGGGTTTCAACCAAACAACAATTTTGGGGCTTGGATGTTGCACAGGCGGCAACGGAGGTGGTGCAAGGCGGTGAGGTAGCGTGCAGTTTGCCAGTCTCTCTGGGTGAATACGTCCAAAGCAGCGAGGAGAGAAAGATGCCGGTCAACCTACAAAATATTATGGGAACACAAAAAAAGAATTATCTCTATGCTTCGCAATATTTGTTTCTGTCCAGGTGGCCCAAAGAATCAGTCAAGGAATAAGGAAGCCCACATACCTATCGTGTGTGATGTGTGAAAAATTCAGGAGCTCAAAAAAATCATCTGTTGAGGGCATATGAGTATAACAAGTATAATGCTCCCACAATCTCGCTCTAAAAAAAATGGGTGAAGGTCTCCGTCTGAAAATTGTCGATCTCAACACAACAGTAGCAACGCGAGGGAAACGATAACCCCTTGCCCTGCATCACATTGTCAATCAATACGCGGTCCATATCGTTGTAGTTGCATGCCACTTCACTGAAAGAAAAATGTCCCTTTAAAAGTTTTGTAAGTCTAGAAAAAAAAAAAAAAAAAAAATCGAACGATAGAAAAAATTTAGTATATCTTGACTGAAAGAAAAATGTCACTTTAAAAATTTTGTAAGTCTAGAAAATTGAACTGCATACGAAACTAATTTTTCTTAAAAAGACCAATTGGCCATTAATCTCAACGCACTTCCCTCTCAATTAAGGCGTTCTAGCAACGAAAAATGGGTGTTGCAGTGATGGAACAGACAAGGCTTAATGGACCAGTATGTGATATCACAAAGGTATATCACTCTGAATTCAGCATTCAGAATCTTAGTACACTATATAATGGTCAGTGCAAAATGACTTTAGATATCCTAAACTATGTATAGTTCTTGACAGACATATGTACATAGATAGAAGGGAGAGGGAGTAAATCAAAGCACAAGAAGAGAAGAATAACTTGTAATTACTGCAGAAGTTTATTATTGCACAATGCAATTTTTATTACAAACATTTCAAACCAATTCCAGGAGAATGAGACAACACGCACAACATAACTACATAAGGACAATAATATTATTCAACATCATTCATCACAACGGACATAAACTATACTCTGTTCACTAGATCCACTCAACCGGAGATGTCGATAGCCTTGGTCTCCCGCTTCTTCACCTCCTCCTTAGGCACAGTCACCGTGAGCACCCCATTCTCCATACCCGCCTTCACCTGATCCAGCTTCGCATTCTCCGGCAGCCTGAAACGGCGGAGGAACTTGCCGGAGCTCCTCTCCACGCGGTGCCACCTGTCATTCTTATCCTCCAGCTCCTTGCTCCTCTCCCCACTGATCCGGAGGATGGAGTTGTCCTCCACCTCCACCTTCACTTCCTCCTTCTTCAGGCCTGGAACATCCACCTTGAACACGTGGGCCTCCGGCGTCTCCTTCCAGTCTATGCGCGCGTTCGCCACCGCCGAAGTTTCCTTGTCGGAGAAGGGGAAGCCCTCGAGTGGGTCCCACACGTCCAGGGAGAATGGGTCGAACACGTTGCTCCTGCGATTGCCAAAGAAGCTTGGAATCAGAGACATTTTTGTCTTTGATGAATATTGATTGAATATTGATTGAACAAGTGTTAGCGTTGTGGTTTGTATTCTGCTGGGAATTTGCTGGAATTATTATTGTCTGATGGAATTGGCAGAGGAGAAAGGATAAATTTATAGAGCCGATTGGAAGAAGCCGGCAAAATTCGTGTAATTTCTCGAAAAGACTCAGGTAGGCTGGGCAATAGTCATGTTCTAGATTACACATGTCCTCTCTACAAGACTCCATATACTTCCAGACTAATATTTGGGTTTAGGTGACTAGTACAACACCCGTGTTAAAAAATTATTTTTAAATTTTAAAATTAATGAGAAAACTAAATTAAATTTAGTTACAAAAAAAATATTACTATATATTTTAGAATGAGATATGTTACTTATGACTTACATGTGTTGTATTATATTAGTTGTTATAACTTATATCATATAACTACTTGAAATATAAATATATTAGTTGATAAATAATTTTATTTCTAATTAATATTAAAAATAATTTTATTATTGTTATAAAGATAAATATAAATTATTTTTTTATACATACAATATGGATATAAAATCGAAGCTCATTAAAAGAAGATTAATTTGATATATTACATATGTAAAACTGATAAAAAATACAAAAGTTATTAACTTTTAAAATATATATACAATTCAATAGTTATAATGAGGAATGATATTAAAATACAATATATACGTTAACATGGCCATAAATAATCAACATATTTATGGTAATTCGAACCTAATTATTTTTGGTTTGGAATTAAATTAAAATTTATCCAAGCCTAATAACGAAGCATGTAATTTTGCCACATAGAATTCCGAAGCACCAGAAGCAGCCACGTAGGCTCAGCGCATTTTGTATTAATATATAGGGGGGATAATATATTTAAAAAAAAATATTTTTAAAATTAAATAGTAATGACACCAAAAAATTATTTCAGTTTTTAAAAATATATTATTATTTTATATTTAAAATCACACCGTGACTTACACGACTTATTGTATTATATTATTTTTTTTAATCTATATGAGATATCTTTTTTGAAGGTAATTTTAAATAGCTTTATTTATTGGAATTTATAGATAAAATATTTATCAATTTGTAGGTATAATATAATGAACCTCATCAAGAGATCAAGAGATGGTTAATTTGATATTATATATAAAAATTTGTTAATAAATTAAAATTTATTAACTCTGTTTAATGTATTTATAATTTAAATTAGTAAATTTGTTATATTTAAATGAAATAGGAGGAAAAAATAAATATTGAAAAAAAAATTATACCTTGTAAATCACGTTTACAATAGAAATAATATTAAAACATAATTAATACCCATAAAAAGGACCATAAATATCCTGTATATTTATGGATATTGATCTAGTTACTTTTAGATTTAAAATAAATTAAGGTTCATCCAAGCCAAATAACAAAGATTAAAAATCATGTTCATCCCGTTATCATTATGTCAGAACTAAATCCACCTACAGGTTTTAACATAATAATCCTTCATGAACTCACGTCGGGGACATCATCAAACTGACGCACATGGTGACCATAAATGTTCTAATAGCACATCATACATGCAACACTATTACCCAAAAAATCAGGAATGTCGATCCACCATAATAAATCTCACCTGCAGTGAATCAAAGTAATAGTTACTACACATATATACATGTCTGTTTATATCTTACGGGTTAGGAGAGCGCAATAATTAACCGAGACTATGTTTGTTTACGACGATCAGTATAAAACGAACTACTATTCTATGGGATTCTGTTTAATACATAAATGTACTAGTGCAACTAATCAGTCAAGAACAACTGTACCATTGCATTACAACCGTTTAGATGGTTTGTTCATTTCCATCTAGGTTGTGAACCAACAATTCTTCTATTGCATGTAACTGATAAAATGATCTTTTGATCATCCGCTAAGTGATCCCAAGAAGATAGGCATCATAGATTTCCAGTATGAATAATTCGAGTCATCCAATTGCGAAGGCCTTGACATGGATCCACCATCATGATTCATGGTTGCTCGTTGAACTGATCCTCAGAATCTTCGTGAATGTATGAAAACCCGGTGCAAATTGTAATTGTGGAGATATAATCGAGTATAACAGAATTGCGCTAAGTGAAGACAACAGTAATCTCAAATGAAAGTTCACACAGTTGCGGAAGCAATATTCTTCAAATCATGAACCTTCAGGGAATAATCCCACTCTCCCTCGGGAACTCTTTCATTAGTGTTCGCCTATATTTTTAAAGCTCGAGCAAGTGTACGGCTTTGCTCGTAGTATGTGGCAAGTAAGGTCGTATCCCAAGAGACCAAACAACCAATTAATCAAGTACTAGATTATGATAGTGCCAATTTTATTTAGACGACCGAATATGAGATTGATTAACTAAACTAAGAAAATAATTCAAAAGATAAGAAATCGATAACAAGAAAATAAATAGAAAAACACTTAAGAAGAATATATAGGAATGGTAGATTCTAAGACTATTGGTTCAATTAACAGTTGGGTTCCTTCAAATATATCACAATTAACTATTTTCTCTATCTACCCTATAAGATGATCACAAAATTAGCCTATCGTCCTTCTCAAGATCGATAAAACTGTAGATTAAATCACATATATTAGCGTCTCCACTCAACACATGTAAATTGTGTCAAATATTAAAGATCTATTAAAGATTAAATCACATATACTATCGTCCTTCTCAACTATCTACTAATCTCTCGATTCAAGCAAATAAATTGTGTCAAATATTAAAGATCTAATATTGAACTCATCTCTCGAATTATGAACAATATCATCAAACATGTAAAAGCAGTGTCGCAATTCATGAAATAAGAACAAAATATTTGAATAGGGTTCAAAAGAAAACAATCAACTATGATAAATCATCCAAAATCCCAAACTATTAATCTACTACCATGTCTTAGAATCAAAGAAATTTAGCTACTCATGTTTGAATTCAAATACATAGACATATTAGAAATCATCATGAGAAAATAAGTTCAAAAGAGAGAAAGAAAAACTAGAAATCTTGTGGTTGATCTTCTCTTCTTCCCAATTGTCTCTCTTCTGTGTTCCAAGCCCTTCTCCTTGTGTTCTCTATGTTCCTCCCTCAGAATAGGGTTAATATGCTCTTTTTAATGTCCAAAACTCTTCTCCTTATCCAAAAAGGCAAGGGATTAAAAACTGCCCGCGTGTGCGACACGACCAGACACGACCCGTGACACGGGTCGTGTCTGGTCATGTCACATGGACTGCACTTGCACTCTTCTGTTGGACGACACGGGTCGTGACACGACCTGAGAGCCCGTGTCATGGGTCGTGTCACACCACTGTACGCTCATTTTCAGCTCGTTTCACTCGTTTCTTCCATTCTCTTCATTCGTGCATCGATCTATCATCATCCCGGGAGTCTTAGGCACTCACCATGCTCCTCCAATAACCAAAACTCTACAAATATGTGAAAATATCTACAAAAGAAGCACGTGTAATACCTTTCCAACAAATATAGAATTAAGCACAATAGTGAAATTTATACACCAATAATGCGATAAATAAGCTCTAGATACTATATGAATATGGTGTAAAATCACACATGAACAATTAGTATAGATGTCACGGCTACCACGGGTTGGTTGGGCTGTTACAGATGGTATCAGAGCCAGTACCCGGACTATGTGCCAGCGAGGGCGCTAGGCCCTCCAAGGGGGGTGGATTATAGTATCCTACATCAATTGTAAAGGAGAACGAAGCATGCCTTATAAGTGGCTGTGGATACTTTCACTAGAAGGACGCGTTTTGGTGAGCTAGCTCCCAAAGGCAAAACCGTGCTGGTGAGCGTGCCCGAAGCAGACAATATCCTACCACGGGTTGGCTGAGTTGTTACACATAAATTGATTCGAACTCCTAAGAACGACTCATTGCACTCTCCTTCTCAAAACTGATTAAAAGAAAAAAAAAAATTAAGTCGTGTTCGTTTATGTCACCATGCTTTTATGTCGTGTACACATATGGTAAGTCCAAAGTGACTTTGCTGCCAAGTCTTGTCTCACAAGGTAAGTTCCTTGATTGATCTGCTACTATCTTTTATAGAAAATTTGATTATGCAACTTGACGCTCCTCATAAGGCAAGTGTGGCTGATAGATATTTCCATTAATCCTGCCCAATTACTAAACATATTAATTACTGAATAATTTTGGAAAATAAATTCAAAAGGATAGTTTAATGTTATGCTTGGATTTTTATTTTATTTTTTATTTTTTATTTTTGGATTTTTTTGTTTTGTATGATTAATTTTGAAAAATGTGGTACGGTTTGTAGTTAGACCATTCTTATCTCCAACCCAACATAATAATTAAAAATTATTTCTCTCTCTTTTATATACACAACTCAATCTTTCAACCTAATTTATCTTTATCCCCAACCCAACCCAATCTAAATACTTATTTTAATTTAATTTATTTACAAATTTCAATTGTGTTCTAAAATATATCAAGTGTGGTCTCTATTTGTAGAGAATGAAAAAATATGATTTTTTTTTTTTATTATTTTTTTAGAAACAAGAAAAAATACACTTGTCCAATAAAAATTGGACAAGTGTCCCATTTTTCCCCAATATATCGGTCTGGGTCGCTCAAGTTTGTGACCTTTTCCTTTTCTTTTTCTATTCCCGTGACCCACTCATTGGGTCACGGATAAAAGTACCCTTAGTGGGTATATTGAAAAATTATTTTAAATAAAGTAATTAAAGTTGATTTGATGTAAAAGTAAGAGAGAAATGATTTGAAGTGATGGTTAATTAAAATTATGTGAGTGGATAAATAGTGAATTAAGGTGATGTGGTGTGCAATAATGATTGATTGATATTATTTAATTATATTGATAATAGTGATGATAGTGAGGTTGAGTTAAAAATGATTTGATTTTTTTGATAAGTTTTGTATCCAAGCATCCTCTAA